AGAGGGATGCCCATCACATGCCCCACCCGCCAGTCAGCAACAAAGGGCAGGACTGCACACTGGACAGCCATTTGGGGCAATCAATGGTGAAGGGCGGGGCTACACAACAAAAAAATCTTTGGTGAATCAGCAGTGAGGGGTGGAGCCACCTGGCCTCTCAGCGAACCAGAGGTGTTGGGGGGCGGGGAGAAAGCCCATGAAAATGGTGCCCAGCCTCATGATCAGTCCGCAAAGTTGACCTCCTGCCTCCTTGATTTTGGTAGGTCCCCATATATAATCTTGATTATAGATTTTAAATGGAATTTAATATAAACTTGTATTAAAAAGTGAGTAAATAGAACTCTGACAAGTGAGGAAGTACCTGTTACGTAAAGGAGCACAATTTCTCTTTGATGGATGTAAGTCTTAATTTTTAATGGAATTGTTGTAAAGCAAACACAAACAAAAACAATTGCATTTCTTTTAAAAGCGATTTGCAAATACTTGGGAGTTGGGAGAAAGGAGTGGAAATCTAACACTTCCAAGTTTCATTGAAATGTTTCTCCTGTCCTCGCTATCTGGGACAGTCAGCACATAAGATAATTTACTTATGTACCTTTTCCATTTAGACCCCAGCACAAAAAGGTGATATTGTCATGTAGCCATTGCAATTGGAGAAAAATGTCCCTTTTATTAAACAATATTTTATATATATTATTTAATAAATAGAACTGTTTAATAGGCGGCGAGTGTGGAGGTTTTTATTAAGGTGAGGGAATGCAGTTTGATCCAAGTTGAGATCTTGCTGCCTGTTGCAATGTGTTTCAACAGTGGATTGGAACCTGTGTAACTGGATTTCAGGTTCTGGAGTAGAAGCATAAGGAATGCTCCATGATAGTTATGCTAAGTACTATTTATATTAAGTGGAATGTTTTGCTATAATTTAATTTGCTGCATCTTTTCAAAGTGTCTGAGAGACCTAACACCATCTCTTGAGAGAGATTCCATAGGGCCTTGTTTATAAAACAACATATACAAGGCTCTCCCTAAAACCTGGAATTAATTTTGAACTTGTGCCAATAAGTGACAGATAAATACACAGTAAACAAGATAATCTAGAAAACTGATTTAAAGATTATTGACTGTTGAATTTGAATTAAGTTATTTCCTTAAAAGTATGTGTTGGATGTCCCAAATGAAAAGAGCAGTGCTGTTTTAGCAACTGGTAATGTGTACTTAATTTTTGTGTTTGTTTTTTTTTCAAGTCCTGGAGTGCTGCATCCTTTTTACTCCATCTTGATGTGACATCCTAGCAAATCCTCTGTTGTTGACATCACACCCACCTTTCAGGAGTGCTGGAGACTGGCAGTTGATAATGGGGTAAGGTAAGTCCCGTTTTTTCCCCCCCTTTATTGATCAATTGTAAAGTTTATTATTTTATTTTATATCTAAAAAGGTATAAAATAAGAATATTAAACTTTCTGAAAATTTCTAGTACTGGAAAAGAATGGGACTTACTCTTATAAGCATCTGTTTTGCTCCCATACTAAGCTACAGTGGGTGTGATGTCCCCAGTGAAGTATGTGCAAGAGAGCCACCTTTGAACCTGCAAGAAGGGGTAAAGGATGCAAGTTTAACTTATGAAGGTATTGAAGTGCTCTTCTCAGTTCATGGGACATTTCAGTACCTGCTGCTAAAGCTTCTTTCTAGATTCTGCATATCACTTTTAAAATACTCTGTATTATTTATAATACAATTATATTCTATTATTTTAATAATATACAATATTATAATCCACTTGTATTCTCTCAATGGATTTTTAATCTTTTTAAAGATTACAAATATTTTTAATCTTTTTAATTTAACATTTAAAGCTAAATTAATCAAACTCTATTTTCTGGTAATTATCATGAATCTACATATTTGTTCCCATTTCAAATGCGCTATAAAGTCTTGGTATTTTCATGGAATTTAACTGTATACCTCCTGACCCATATTTCCTTATTCCTACAATGACACAAATAAGCAAATTGTGCAAAATGGCAGATGCTTAGAGGATGCTGTCATAATTACTGGCTTTGTCTTCAGTTTATCTATAAAATGGGTTTAATGCTTGCCTCTATCTAACATGACCTATAGGGGTGATTCTCAGCTGATATAAACTGCCAGTGTGGCTCTGAAGCCGAAGTGTGATAATTCTGATCATTTACACTCACCCCTGTAAAGTACTAAAGTTCTTTGGACTCCTAGGATGAAATGTTATTCATAAGTAAAGCTATCTGTAGTATAGTACACTGTAGTTTTAAAAATGTTCCCTTGATCAAAAGGTAATTAGATGCATCTGCTGTCTGTTTTATATAACAAAGGCAAATGCAATAGTAGTTGGTAAACTAACCTGCTGTTCTCATTAGAGGTATGACCATTTGAGGTTTGCTTTTGCAAGCTTCAGACATGAAGAATTCTTATTGGTTTAAGGAGTGATGTTTATGCATTAGATTTCAGGACTGACTTACATAATACTTGCAATATGAATATATATTTTTTAGGATAAAAATTTTGAACTGTGCAGGCAGGCAATTTACTATCAATGTGTATTTTGATGGTTGTTTTAATGGCTTTGAAAATTTTCTCTATATTTAAAAAAGTGCTTTGGATGCTTCAAATAAAACATTTTCTTAAGTCTTAGGGTGTCAGCTTTGATTTTTACAGGGAAAAACAACATTGAAATATTTGAGGTGTTACATTATTTTCATCCTTTTAATTGTTGTCCAGCCTGAGACCTGGTATTGGTGGACTACCTTTTAAATATGATGTGTTTCAAAATAAAAGAGAATTTTATTTAACTCTACCATCCTAAGAATTATATTATGTGCATATGGTTCCTTGCTGTGTTAGCTAAGTTAATTTCTGGTCCTTTTTTTGTTAATTTCTGGTCCCTCTCCTTCTCTTCCCCATTGCAGAAATAGAGAAGTGTTTGTCTTTAATATTTATGTATCTGCTTAGAAAAGGGGTGTCAAACTCATCCAGACCAGTTGGTGTGAGGCCAGTCCGAGGCCCAGATTGGACCCATGGACCCCCTCCATAGCCCCAAACATACCAGATCCAGTGGCTGCTCTAGCCAGTTTAGGACCCATACATGCTGTGTGCAACATGGATCCTGGAGCAGCCAGACAGCGTGCCATATATGGTGCAGTCCAGCCAGTGTGGCAGCCATGCTGCGTGAGCCAGCTGCCTCAGCAGGCTGTGCCTAGCCTGACAGCTTCAGGACTTCGCTGCATGCATCACCTGCTACAGCACCCATGCTGCATGTGGTGCTTACGAACACTGCATGCAGCATGAGTCCCATACCAGCTGGAGTAGATGCTGCTTGCAGCACACATCCCAGAGTGGGACCTGCGTCAGGCACAGTCCAGCCAGGGTAGCCACGATGTGCAGCATAGCTGTTGCTCTGGCTGAATTGTGCCATATGCAGTGCATGGTCCAACTGCTCCACAATTCACATAGCATGCAGTGTGGGTCTCAGACCAGCTGGAGCAGCCACCAGAGTATGCAACAGTAGTAGGGGAAATGGGAGAGGATCCTCATGCCTGATTTGGCCCTCCAGGCCTTATGTTTGACATCCCTGGTTTAGAAGATGGTGGTGATTAGAAGCATCTCTCTGCTGTGTACAGACCTAACATAGAATAATTAACAACCCTGTTTAACATGATTTTGTAGATTGGACCTCATTTTAATATGTGGATGCATAAGTTGAGTGCAAAACCATGTAAAAGTATATCAGTGCCATTTACATGCCCATTGCACGAGAGTACAAATTCATGTAACTGTATATTATGAAGTATTTTCCAATTTTTTTCTATTAATCTATGAGTAGTATTGGTTATCTTCATGTTGGTTAATGGTTAAAATCACTTAAGTGCATAGCAGCTTTCAAACCTTGCTCTCTATTTTGTAATGTAATTGTATTCTGTTTGCATATTGACTTGAGAAAGCTGTAGAGAAGAATCAATTGTCAAAGGGCTGCTATTTGAATCCTTGAAAACTGGAGCTAGTCAGGGCTGCTAATAGCACACAACTAACAACGATTGAGGTAGGTTATTCTGTACTTAATGCACATTGTTACATTAAGTTCAGGTCAGCGTATAGCCCTTTTTTTTTTTTTTTTTTTTTTTTTTTTTAGTCCTATAAGTGTGCACTTGCATGGAGTACATTGTATACCTGTTTAAAAAGGGACAGCAGGCATAGCCTGCTACTAATTGTTTCAGATTTACTTTAATGAGACTAGTGTTGAGCTGCTGGCTTTTTCAATTTTTCAACTGCAGGATTGGGGGTTGAGATTAAAGGACGGAAAATTAAATATAATTTGTTTGGGATTTCGGCCAGCATTTTGGCTTGGAAGATGACATCAGAGTCCCATTTGGCTGATTTGATAGTGTTGCTAAGGATTTGATGTCACAGAACTGTGTGCTACAAAATCATTTGTCCAGCCCTTTTGGCACTAAAACAACAGGAACAACAAGAGGATTTGGTCATAATTAGCTAGGAATTTAGGCAAACCTGCAAAATTCATTTAATCTTCCCACACAAATTAAGCTTGAAATGCCACAGCATTTCAGGGACATTTGACCATCCATGCAAGT